GATATATATGTTTTTCTATAGAGGCTTTTTATATTCTAATCAGTATATATTCTTATCAATATTACTATTTAGAGGATTTTCCTCTTAAAATAAGAAACTCTTCTTGGCGCCTGTTTTAGTATAAAATATACTTAAAGTAAGTGGGATATCTCTCTCCTTAAAACAAGAATACACAATTTTTTCGGTGAACAAATTAAACGTGAAGATCAGAGCCAATAAGAATAGTTTCAATATATATGTATAATCTTTAATTTTTCGCGTAAGTAGAAGAAACGCGCGCGACTCCGCCTCATGATAATGGATCGCGGAAATGGCGCGCGATTTGCTAAAAGCAAGGTTAAAAAAGCAAAGCCGCACCTACGCAAGTCGTTAAATTTAAGGTGGCTTGTGCAATCGTTTCAGGCCACAGAGGAATTTCGCGCATAGTAATTTTCTATTCCTAGATTTTCTCATAAAAACTCATTTCCTCGCACGAGCTTCCAAGTGCATTCATAAACAGAAAATCTGATTTAGAAGATTTTCTTTTTTTTCTTTTGCACGATTTTTTTTCCCTAATATTATCTTGTGCATGTGTGTGCAATATCTTCTGTTCTTTCTCTCGTTAACGAGAGTTGAGTTTTACACGTGGCGGTGTAATATTCTTTTTCTTCGGAGTTTGTTTTGATGAAAAATTCTTTTTTAAAATTGTATATTTGTAGTTTTTTCAATGTTTCCGAAAATGTTCCACGTGTATACGACGCAACATGTATTCACGCTAACACACAACACAAAGAGCTGTTCCTACAACTCGTCGAACGATATCGAGATATATATTTCATCAACAAAGCGGATTCGGTGCGCGCTTTTGTAATCTACACGCGCGCGAATTTCTTTCGGCGGACACGTTTCCGGCGTAAAAAATCACAATCTCATCATCTCTGTTTATTTTCTCTTTCTCTCTCTTGTGCGTTACAGCGAACGAGTGTGGTTAGCAGTTCGATAGAGTGGCAAAATGGACGCGCGATTCAGAAGCAATCTCGACATGATCGGGCGCAATGAACCCATCACAAGGAAGGCGAAATTTTGGCAGAGTTACGTACGGGCCCTGAAAGGTGAGACGCGCGTGCGCTTTTTTTTTTTTTCAAATGAGACATTACGTACGGAAAAGAAAATAAAACAGATCGCGACACGCATAGTGAATATAAGATGATACGAGAATCGATCCAATCTTATTTCGTTTGTGTTACAAAAGATTTTCAAAAGTTTAACAAACGTTGCGTGTCTCTCGAAACAGGCACCGACGACATCAGAGCTCCCGAACACACTCACAGACCCCGCGGCATTTTCCGCTCGGATTTTCCTGAGCTGCATTCCACCTCGTGGCCGTTTGGAAAGTCTATCTTCGAAAATCCGATTCACGCAGCCGACCGCATCAATGTTCCCGGATACAGGTGTGTATCGCGCTTGATTTTTTTGCGCGCTTATTTATTGTTTACAAAAAAAAAACAAAAAAAAAAAACAACAGTCAAACGTAAAAACAAAAAAACGAGACGACGATTAAAAGTAAAAATCGAAAATCGAGAAGGTGAAAGAAACATATCGGAGAAAGAGAAAATTTGTTACGTTGCATTTCTCTATACGCCATTATATATCGTACAATGAATATATTCTTGGCGCGCGTTCTGTGTTCTTGGCAGACGCCCAAAGTACAAAAACCTAAATATACTTGTGACGGCCTACTTTGTAAGATTTTGCTCTTATTTCCTGGCCTATAATAATCCAATCAATAATTTCAACGTACAGTCGAAAAGAAAAAAGAAAAGAAATAATCGAGAAAAAAAAAAGATTATTTTTTGTAATTTTTTCCTCGTCGATTAATTTGATTTAATTTGATTTTTTGTTATCTCTCTTTTTTGTCGAGATGTGATCATTTATTGTAACACTTATGATAATAATATTAACGGCGATGTGCATCTGTCCGTGTGCTCCAGGTATCTACCCGTGCACCGTGAGATCTACGGTTACTCGCCGAGACAACTGTATCCCCATCAGTACAAACCCGTAGAACGCTTCACCCCCGGTACGTACTAAAGAACTGTGAGCAAAAAAAACAAAAAACAAAAAGAGTCCGAAAACGAGAGTGAACGGCGTCTTAGATAAAGAATCGAAAGCGTGAAACGAAACGATTAAAAAATAAAAAAAAAAACTCTTCTTACATAAATACTTCGATGTCGAACGAATGGGCGAGTGAGAGTGCGAGAGAGAGAAAGAGAGAGAGAGAGAGAGAGAGAGAGAGAGAAAACGCGAGAATAATGAAAAAAGAAGGAGGAGGAGGAGGAGGAGGAATGCAACGTAAAAAAAAGATACGGTGAATAGTAATGAACCGGGTAAACGGGAGGACGAAGCGAAAAGCGTGTGTGTGTGTGTGTGTGTGAACACAGAGAGAGAATAATATGATAAATTATCAAAATATCCGTCAATCAAAAATCCCATCGTATCGAAAAAAAAAAACACAAAGAAAAAAACGTGTGTTAACAGTTTAACTACACTTTTGTTCTCGTGGACCTTTTTTTAGATTAAGTTCTTTATGTATAGCCCGGCGCTTTTGGCTTCTGGCCAGCGTCCTGAAAGAAAAAAGAAAAAAAATCTCAAAAAAAAAAAAAAAAGAAAAAAAAGCCTATCAAAAAAAACTATCATTCTCTTGAAAGAAAGACATCGTGGCATCTTGTTATACAAGCAACACTCTCCGAGCCTTTCTCAGAAGCCAGAAACGCCTCCCCGGAGAGGTTTTCACAATATTATACATTCTTGTACCTTCCACCTTTGCCTGCATACTCAAAAAAAAAAAAAAAAGAACAAGAAAAGAAGCATCATCAACCTTCTGTCCTTGTCCTCGATCTGTCGCTCCTACTCCCTCCCCCCCCCCCCCCCCCCGACGTGTAAAATGCGTGATGCTCTTCTTGGACGTACATGTTCAATCGGTTCGTTTGTCTAGTTTCATTGTAAATCATAATAATAATAATAATAATGATAATAATAATCAGTAATCGTGTCTACCTTCATGTCACATGTGTATAACTAATTACTTTATGCATCTTCTATTTGTATTATCTAAGTTAATTATACTTATTATATATATATATATATAAGAACAACACACACACATACATATGCATATATATATATATATATATATATATATATCTACGTACGTATAAATATATATACAATATGTTTCAATATCTGAAAACTTCTTCTGTCTCGCGTCTGTTCCACATCGTAAACGTCACGTTCCTTGTCTTTTTGAATCCTTATCGATCTCTCGCGCGAGACTGAACTAAAAAAATCATCAACACTTACGTAGACCTACCTACGATAGACCGCTCCCGTCATCCGATTGAGGAAACTTGAGGCGAAGTATATGCCACGTGCTACGTAATTAGTCGTGTTGATTACTTGAATTACAATTTTTGATACACTACGGCATCTCGCCTCAAGTTTTCTTCCGCTCTCTCTTTTCATCGTCACAAAATTGATTAACTCACAGCTCAAACGTTTGTCCACGTGACACAAATATTTTTCACAAATCTGTGTTATAGAATTTATAAACGCTCTTTTTTTTTTTTTAATCTTTACATCGCATAATCTGAATGATCATCTAATAATCTGAATGATCATCTAATTTCAACGAATAATTGCATTAACACGTTAACTGTTACATCGATACATCGATCATGCCTAGTCGAGCGTTCAGACGCGTTATGGATCATCGCTCATCGCTCATCGATCACGGATTGCTCGCATGTGGACGCATGCGTGTCGTGCTTCGAGGTGTTCTGTGACTCTCGTCTTCGTAGGGAACAAAAAAATCTGTCCTTCCTAGCTCGCCGTCCACAACGTGTGTAACGTTTTTTCATCGGAAAAACAAATGGGGTATTCATTTCGTCGTCCGTTTTTTCGCGCGCGCGCGCGCGCGCACACGGAAGCTGAGCAGAAATGTCTGATTTCTGATTTCCAGGCGCTAGGCCGAACAAGTGGCTCATACTGAACCGCATCATCGATCTGAGCGACCTTAGACGCCAACAGATCTCTCGAAAGTGGGAGACCAAAGAACGAATCGTGCTCACCTCTCGAGCGCGACGTCATTGCTTACGAAATACGATCGTCTAACTGCGCGCTATATATCCCGCTATAAATCCTTGCTTATTAAAAAAAAAAAAAACGAAACCCGCAACTTTACAATTCCCCAACTAACTAATAAATAACATCATCACTTCACACGTGCATACTTCACTCTACAACTCTGTAGAAAGCTTGACATAGAACTAAGATCACATGACTTTACACTTTACCAATAACACCTCGTTAACATACTCTTTTACGGAATGTATCCGCTTTTTTTTTAAAAAACACAATCATAACACAGTCACTTTATATTTCGCAATCCTGATCCTGAAACGATCCCTTCCTTTTTTTTCAACATAATGAAAAAAAAAAACGGTCGTCGAGAGAACGAAATCACGAACTTAAAAAAAAAAAGCCATTTCGAAACCAATTGGCTATAATACGATCGAAATCGACGTTTTGTTACAAAAAAAAAGCTGCTAAGTTTTTACATAAAAAGAAAAAAATGAAGTGATACATAAAAAAATGAATGTTTTTATACAGAAAGAATTTTTGCCGCAAAATGTGTTGTTTTATGTACGTTTTATCTTTTCCTCAAAAACGTTAAATAACAAGGAAAGGAAATATGTAATATATAATAGATTTTTTTTTTTAATGCAAATATTCAAAATTCTCTGTTTTAGGTTTTAATTAATTAATAACCGTTTGAGAATAACGAATTTTCTATGTAATATGACAATATTATGTAGTTGAGAATATTTTAACACACCGTTGTACGTTTCACATGATCTACGTTCTTTTCACATGATTTGTGCGACACGAGATAATCATATAAGGACAGGATGTGTGGACACACACCCATTTAGAAATCCTTAACTCTTGCAGCTGAGGTGGAGGTCGCGGCTTGATTGCGAAAATTCACAATGCGCCGAAAAGGGACGTATTAAAAAAAAAAAAAAAAATAAAACAACTCGAAAGTGGAACAAAGCGATGGAAAAAAAACTTGGCTTTTCCGATCGTCACAGGCGCTTTAGACAACATTGTATATACGCAACCATATAACAAATCAATATCTATATATATATATATAATTATGAAAACAAAGAGAAACTGCGCGCGCGTAGAGTGTATGATGAACATGCACAAATCAACACACACGCATGCGTGAGCAAAAGGACAGAGACGGGGAAAAAAAAAAACGTGCAGAAAGAGTTTCTCCTTTTTGAAAAAAATAAAAAAAAAAACGTTTAAAGAAAGAAATAATAAATTAAATTGAAAGAAACATGGCCGCCAAAACTTGAAAAAGCTGGAAATTTTCTCTCGACGCTTGCGCGTTCTAATTTCGTACTTTCGATTTTTCAGACACGTCTCATCATCGCCTGTCTATATTCTTTACGAATTATTTAATTAATAAAAAAAAAAAACAAAAAACACACGTATATAACGCAAGCAAAAAGTAAAAACACAATGTTTTATACACTTGTAAACACACAATGGTATATACACAAAACTTTTGACTTTATGCACTCTCTCTTGTATAAATTAACAATTAGAAACATACTAAATAAATTACAAACAACATCGAAGTCCTTCTTTTTGACTTAACATAATTAATTAAATACGGGGAGATTCAAGGCGATGCGAGGAAAAATCGAAAGATCTTCTTTCTTTTTTTTCTTACAATATATATACATGCTCTAATCGGTAATAAATAATACATGCACGCGTATTTACTAACAATAAACAAGTTAATTTTTAAATTAACGTGCAATTAATTAAAACCAGATCCAGAAATTTCTATCTTTTTCAGGATATGGCATGTACTTTTTTCTTTTGTCGTTTAATTCGATCCTCCAACCCCTTCCCACTTTTGAGCCCCTCGTTTCTAGCTTTTTTTTTTTTTTTTTTTTTTTTGTAAATGATCCATCTCCGCCAAACTACTATGTTATGTAATTCTTTCTCGATTGATAATGTGCACAATTAACGATTGCTAATCTACGATTACACGGACGTATATGTTGCAACATATGCGCTGTAGTTCGCGTTGAATATAAAGCTCCTATAAATTTTAGTTACTTTATAGAATACACGCTTATTAATCTTTAGCGAAAACAAAAACTATATATGTACGTCATATAATTGCAAGTTTGAGAAAATACAAAGTTCTCGGTGAAATTATTTTATTTTGGAAAATAACGAATTGTATTCCCCGGAGAGAATAATATCGTGAAATATTTCGCGCATTATCAGGGAAAATAGCTAAAATGTGAAATTAATATTTATTAGGATATACATATACGATACAAAGCGAAATCAGTGAAACAACTCTACGAAATTTACCATTCATTGCTAGCCCTGAGCTTTCATTAGCTAAAATAGCAAGCTAGCAATGCCAAATGTGCGCACGATTAATAATCACGCAAGCCAAAACAGAGCGCAAACGTAGTGTAATAATATAATTAGTTTTATATTTAATTAGAAAGTCACACACACGCACACACACACACATACACACACATAGTCAGTCGCATCTTTTTGGCGAATATATGTATATATATATACGGATCATCTCAATTCTCCAATTTTTTCCGCTACGAATATTTCGATTAACCGAGCCGAATTTTTTGACAACAAACCGAACCGCCGCAGCTTTTTTCCGTCACCGACTTTTTTGAAGCAGCTTTTTTCCACCAGGTTAGTATGCTACTTTTTTTTTCAAACTTTCACGTGACGTCATGCTACTTTTTTGTGACATCGCTGACTTGTTTTTTTTTTTCACTCGCAAGCGAATTTGTGCCAGCTTTTGTCAATAGGCCATTCTCTATAATGTAGAGAGAGGTTTTTTATATAATTTATTAGAAGAAATATATTTGACACCTCTTATTTTATGTAGACGCGCACGGCTTTCAACGATAAAAAAAAAAAAAAAAACAAAAAACAAAACGAAACAAAAAATAAAACGGAGACAGAACCCTGCCACTTTTAACTTTTTTTGCACTTTTTATTATTGAACAAAAGTTTTTGTTTATAATTTGAAAAAAAAAAAAGTTTTTTGTGCTACGTTCGTGTAGTTGATGTATTGCAAAAGTCAGTCAGAAGTTCTGTGGCGAACCGCGTTGCATCGCAAGACCCGCGTTTCGCTAATGCTCAAGAAAACAAAAAATTGTTATCACATAGCATTATTCATGTGCGTACTTACGTACGCACATTTCAATTCCTTTTCTAGAACCTTTTCTAAAACCAAATGTAATCACATCCCCAAGATACAAGATATCATAACGCATGTTGTGTATGTTTCGTGCATGACGTGATATTGTGCCTGCTTTTAAGAAATAATTAATCGCAGATACTGCGCGTAGTAATTAAGAAGAATGAGAGACGCTTATATGCGCTAAAACACTAAACAAAACAAAGAGAAAATGAAGCGCAGTAATAAAAAAAAAACAAAGATCGATTTGGCAACTACAGGCCGTAATGCAAATAGATTCAAATTATTGGACATGTTTTCTCTGTTTAAATATTGTCGATGTCTTTTTCATTTCTGTGAACAAATTTTTATTTAGTCAATACAAAAAAAAAAAAAAAAAATATGTACGCATACTTTGAAAATTTACGTATATTTTTGTTATACGTTGAAATAACTTTCTTTCATTGCAAACATGATATATGAAGTTTCTATGTTATATATATGTTATCAGAAGTTATTAATCGCAACGTGGCTCTGTAATTCAGACTTTTTATATATTCTTTTACGACACAGCGAGACCATTCGACGCCGAGAAAGCTTGGAACGATCATCTAAATCGCTTGGCGGACATCGACAGACTTTATCCAAGCAAATCACCGCTCCTGGCTCGTCATTTGAGTCCGCCGCTCAGCTTAAAACGATTGTTCGATATTCACGGTGAGTAGAGCGCACAATTCATTGTGTTTATTTTCAAAAAAAAAAAAAATTAACCCTCAACGGACCGCGTTTTGTTTATTCGGCACCTTAATTCGCCGGACGTGAGTTGTTTTCATCTTGGACTTTTTAAAAAAATTAAATATTTCTTAAAAAATCTGAAACACACACACAATGTGTATATACTCTTTAAACTGTCTATTTTAAGACACCGTCATTAAATTTGAAGTGAAAAAAAAAGTTTTAATTTATAATTTTTAACAAATATGACACAACAAGAAAATTACTTTCTTCAGAAAGTAATTTTGCTCCAAGACGAAAACGACCCGTCCGTTGAGGGTTAATTAAATTTAATTTTCAATATAATGTTTTGTTCGTTATTTAAGCATTTGTTTGTCGTTACGTCTCGTGCATTACTTTTTAAAAAATTAAAAATTTAACGTAATATCAACAATATACGAGCGGCAGCAGAGCGCGATAGTTGGGAACTATCTTTAAAACGGACCTCACACCCGAATGACAAAATTATCTCGTTCTAGCAGCTTCGCGATTCTTCGCGAAGAGAGATAGCGTTTGCTAAACAATCGCTGCTAATAATATTTCGCTCTAGAGAAAGGTCCCAAGGTCGATTTATAGTCTCACGTATTATAATACCGCGATCTTACGTAACCGGTATATATTTATAAACAATCACGTATGTATATACGCGCGTGTGTGGATCTTACCTCGACGGCTCGGCGCGGCCGTTCAGTTCGTGATCGATTCGTATTAAAATCGCGTCTCTCCGCGCTCATCATCATCACGCAGGTAATCCCGTGGACGACGACTTCTTACTGCCGAACCCGTCGGTGTTGCTGCGCAAGAAGCCGCTCTTCGATCTCCTGGAACCGTCCCCGATGGCACCCATCAGCGCGTTCACCAGAGACCCATGGTGGTATCCGAGCTACGCGCCCTACATCCCGAGCTACGCTCAGCTCCGCACGCCCTTTTACCTGAGAGACAGTTACCTCAGCCCGATCAAGCGTAGCTACCTGTGGACCCGACATCCCATCAGGCCTTTCGGTACGTGAACCCTTCATTGAGGGGACCTCTTTCGCAGACCCGACGTGTCCCCCGTTGTCGTTTTATTCTCGTCAGCGAGCCGAGATCAATGTCAACGCGTTTTTTTCGATCGCGACAAATTACGAGTGACGTCCGATTGATGATCGATTGTGGCTTACCGCACTGTCGCGATGACAGGTTTTCGACAACTCGAACGCGAAAAAATTGATGCTCGAATTTGAGGAGCAATTAAGAAAGTTAATGAGACAGCGACGCGAAAAATGACATTGGTCGTTGGCAAGCGCCGACTGCAGACGCCGTCAAGAGGTGTTGAGATAGTTCACACATCTTTCGCACATCGTGACATTTTACAACGTGCTATAAACGTCTTGTTGTAAATTTTGTTTAAAGGTTTCTTGAATTTACGAACGTTGAAATTTATCAAGTTGTTGAGTACGAAATTGACTGTGAATTATTTTGTGTTACGATTTATTTAAATATTTCGCTGGTTTAATCAACTTCGCGACAGAGTCTGCAGTGTAGTATTCGCGATTGCGATTGTTTGTTTTTTTTTTTTTTAAGTGCTTTAAAAAAAATTCGTAATCGCAAGTACACGTTTAAATCTAGACTACTGTACTGTACAGAAGCAAAAACGCATTTTTTTCTACACGTGCAAAATTAAAATATTGTATGTAATTAAAAAACAAAAAGTCATCAAAGGATTGAATGTAATCCTGAAAGAAATGCTCTTTTCTAAAAAAAAAAAAATTAATTTTCTAACAAAATGAAAAAACGCGATACAGTAGTCTAGAGAGCATAATTTTTTTTTTTTATATATGACACACTCATAACGTATGTTATTAAGTTACAGTTTAAACATTACGAAAGACAAGAAACATATTTTTCGCACGGGAGATATAATTTTTCCGTTTCCGATCATTCGTTTCGCAACACACGTGAGAGCTTTTGGAAGTCGTAGTAGGTACAGCCGTCCATCTTTTTTGCCTAGTCCTAGAGCTTCGGTATGGAATTTTGGTAAATTTTTTCCACCCTTTTTATTTCGCCACACGATACACATTCAGAGAATCCTCGTCCCTACTGGCAAAAAAAAAAAAAAAATTGATCTCGTCTACTTTTTATCAAAAAGTCGATTTTATTGCAAGATAAAAAATAAAACTAATAAAAACTATTGCGTGAAACAAATTGTGTTTTTTTTCAAAAATCAAATTGGCTGGAATTCGAAAACGCTAATTAGATAAAGATCTCTTTGCCAGTCGCGACGTCAGAAAACGCGGATCGCAATAATATCTCCTTTTCATTTGTCACCTCAATCGTGAATACAGAGACCGCCGTACAGAGAGACATTTGGCAGCTCGGCGATAATTATATTGTCGATGCTGACGTTGGCACGGGCGCAACGCGCGCACAATCTGTGATGACGGTCAGCTTCGTCGAGCTGTAAAATTGAGACCATCTGGTGGTGGAAGCCAAGCTGGTCGAAAATGAAAATTTTGAGTCAGCTTGATGTTTTTTTTTAAATCATCACATTTTTGCGACAGACTTGCGAGATTCTGTTTGTTTGCCTTCAATTGCCAACTACTCGGTTTTTTGTCGCGCATCGAGAACAAGCACGTTACACAATTCTCTTACACAAACCGAGTGACATATAAAACACACCTACACACACACACACATAACAAACAGTCTGAATGACATCCAAAGGGCGTCTTAATGTTGCGGTCGTCCTTCAAACAACTTTCAGACGTCTTTTTCAGACTTTTCTGTTACATCTCATTACACGGACCGCGCGTGTGATCGATGACGACGTTTTAAAAAACACGACAAACGACTCTGCGTGTCGTGATTTTGTATCAAATCGAAATGCTCTTTCAAACGTCAGATTTGTGAAGATTTAACAAGATTGTGATCTACAGCAAACGAAATGTCTATCGTTTCAGGATCGTTATACTACTATTATTCGCAGCCAGTGCCACGATTTCACTTTACCAGCCCGTGGTATAATAAACGTACCACGCATTAAGAGAAAAAAAAAAAAGTGAGCGATAAGAGATTAAAGTGGCCGAAGTGTTTCAAGTTTCACCCCCCCCCCTCAAGCATCTCACTCCCCCCTCCACCATTTACTCGTTTAATAAGTCAATCAGTAATCAAATCAGTTAATCAATCGGCAGGGGATTGTGGCGGATATGATGATGTGGCGCATCACGAGATTCGCTCCTCGATAAAACGATCCTCGTTTTTGCGTCACCTTTATTATTCGTAGTCATTTAATTATTACTCGCCATTAACATTGCAAGTAGATTGGTAACAAATGAGTGGTCAGATGTATGTTAATTGTTACATCCGCCAATCGGGTCCGTGTTACGACGGCTGAATTGTTTTTTTTTTTACAAGGGAGGGTGTCTCCTTTTAACCCTTGGGCTACCACGCGCGGAGATTTTCTCCGTAAATTTTAATAATTAGCGTCATCTCTGTGACACATCGAATTTTATTTCTTTTATCAAGATTTATCACTCGGTCTGTTTTACATACATGTGTGTGTGCGTCGACTCCTTCCATCTCTCGCGCAACAATACACGTGCATTTAACACAAATGTTTCTTTTTTTCCCCCGAATGTTTTTTTTTTGTTTTTCTCAGAATGCGTTACCAGAATGTTCTTTAATCCTTGCGGTAATTATTAAATTGCCGAGCCGTTGCCCCCTTCGGTGAGGAGCCGCTGACAGAATCTCGAATACCATACATGCGGTATGTGGTCCCCCGACATTTGTGTCTGTTCTTTTCCTCACCCCCTTTTCCCCCCACCCCCAAAAAACAAGTCATGAAATAAGTGTTTTTGCAAAAGTGATTAAAAAAAAAAAAAAAGCCCGAACTCCGCAAACTACGATCGCTGCATAACGCACGTTTATTTGTTAACACTAGAAGGATTCAAAATTCATTCGTGTAAAAAAAAAAAAAAACAATTAAATTCAACAATTATTCTTCGAGCATGTGAAAAAACAAATATTTTTTTTAAACAGAGGTATTTCGTGTTTTTTTGCCTCTGTTGCTAACATTTTTTAAAACTTGGCGGTTACATCGCAACTGAAACAAAAAAAATACGAGAAAATCCAATATAATCAATACGTAATATAAATTATTCGAGAAATCAATTATTCTTCACATCTTCTGGTGTTAAAGTCAAAAACGTATCGCTCTCGCGATTGCTAGCAAATCTTTGTCATTCATCGCTTTATAGGATCGATGTTTTAGCGTAGAAGAGCCGTTTTCTCTCGGCTGTTTCCTCGATGACAGGAGCGACAGTCCAGCCAGAAGCGTCGTAGCCGAAGGGTTTTTTCTCTAACGAAACAACACGTCATTTCTCTAATTCCTCATATTATAATCGACAGCATTGTCACCAGTCATCTCTAATTGTAAAAGTCGTTTTTCACAATCAGCATCTGTCACGACGGCTTGTACGTTATTTTGTTGTTTTATAAGATTGTATTTTTTTATTTATATATAAAACGCTCCATCGTCATCACACGTTTCAATTCATTGTATATCTTCAGTCTAATATTGTACATCCGGCATCATACTTTTTTGTGGACTTTTGTTCCAGCGAGACCACACTTGTGTATTGAATAAATGTCTCAAAACATACCTCCAGTTTTACAGTATAATGGAGGGTCTCGTTTTTACGGTGCAATATTTCCGTTTCGCCGTTGTAGTTACACGCTGCTCTCGGCTTGTCAAGTGTATAAAGTAGTTTATTTTATTACTTACTTTAAGTAATAAAATTTATTACTTATACAGCAATAAAATAAACTACTCTATTATACTTATGTAGTAATAAAATTTATTACTCTTACATGGTAATAAAATAAACTATACGCAGCCATCTCTACAGCTTGCTCTTGCAGTAGAAGTAGACTTATATCTAGCGATTTTAGACTTATATGCAAATGTATCTAGCGATATAATCCTTAACATCGTCTTAACATAGTTGTTTTTTGTTTGCATTCGATATCTCGCTATCTTTGTATCGAAGCGTAAACGATTAACCGTTATCGCATACGGTACAGTCGAAACATTGCACCGTACACAACTGGGACGTGTAAAAAAAAAAAAAATCCCACGAGTTCTTTAATGTTTAATTGTGCGTTGTATGACAGTTTGTTTTTTTTTTTTTTTTCATTACTTTGTTAAAGTCTTGTCTGACGGTTTTTACGAGGAGGACGCACGTACGCGACGTATGTATTTTGTTTTTTTGTCAAATAAAAAAAAATATTTGCGTGAGAATATAAAATATACACAGAATACTATGTTTTTATTTTTTTAAACTTTTATAGCGCTAAAAAAAAAATACTGCGTTTTGCTTCGCGAATGCGCGTCCTCCAGGAAAAAATCTTTCCTTGGCTCTTATGGAAAAATAACAAGTCAAGAGAAGTCTGTATTATCTTGTCGTCGACAAATGTAATAATTAATTAATTGTTCTCGAGAGATTTAAATCTCGCAAATATATTTGTCACTTCTCGCTTAAAAAATGATTTTTCCATAAGCGCGCACGTGACGGGGTCGCGTCGCTCTTTTCGTGTTTGATCATCGCGTCTCTCTGTTTGCAGCTCACGCCTACTGATGACCGTCCGGCACCGACACGGAACAAGCGTGTGAAAGAAACAAAAAGAAAAGCCGACGATAAAAGAGAAATAAAATGTCCGAGAGAAAACTCGACGAAAAAAAAAAAAAAAAAAAAAAAAAAAACAAAACGAAAGAAAACTTTGCATCACGCACCGGAGAAAAATTTTGGCGTATCTCATTATGCAGTGCATATCGTTTTCACGGAATTTTATTTATTAACATTTCCCGTCGTACGATTTATTGTACTGTTCATCCGTAAGAAATAAAATAAACACTGCCAAAATTTTATTTACATGGCGTTAAATTTTGCGTTCCGATTTTTATTTCCCTATAGTTATAAATGTTGCAGTAACATTCTCGCACGTGTTATAATAATATCATATACATGTATCTTCTCCTCGCCGAAGAGCCGAAAAGAAACAGCAGGCTGAAAACAAAGGTTTGTACAACAATATGCATGTTTATTATCTGAAAGTTTTACATTTCTTAAGATGCCATCGCATGGCATGTTCCGTTTTGCCGACGATTCGAACGATGTAACAATCCACGATAGTCGCAACCTCTCACGTTTTGCGAGAATCTCTCTCGCTTTTTTGCTTTGTTTTTTTTTTTTTTGTTTTTTGTTTTTTTTAATTACTTATGTAATAAAGCATCGTCGAATCGCGGACCGTCGAATCCAACCCTTTACAAATATAATATCTGTATATAATATATGAATCTCGGACAAAACGTATATCGAGGAATCACAACCGCTCCTTTTTCTTTTGACAAGAATTTAAATCTTCCATTTCTTTGTTTTCCTTTTTCTCGACGGAGGAACGCAGAGAGGAAAAAGGTGGGAAAAGGATACGGCCTGTTTTTTCTTTTGTTTCGGCCGCATTAAAAAAAAAAAAAAAAAAAAAAAAAAAACAACAAATTTGCACTGCGTATTTTTCACTTTCTCTCTTTCTATCGCACACACTCTCTCTCTTCTCGTTTCTTTCTCTCTTTTGAATATCGTCATTTAGTGAAGGAGAAATGTATCTCGAAACAAATAAAGACTACCACCTTCATTGATCGCTCTTTACCCGATATAAACGTTATATAACAATCAAATAATGACTAATAAATGTCAGAATGCCAATCGTGGTATATAAAGTTGTCGCTCAACGAAAAGGCTCATTACGTTTGATTGATCTTTGAAATCGGGGCAAGGTCTTTCTTCAAGGTTTTGTGATACGTGTGTCGTTCTCTGTATAAATTTCCGAATTTTGTCTTAATTACAGTAAGTTGTAGGTTAACGACACAACATCGCTAATGATCAATCTACATGCGGTCGTCGACAAATATACTTTTATGTAGATATCTCATTATTTTTGTTTCATTCGCACGCATAGCAGATTTTGTTCGATTATTACATAAAAAATGTTTTTGTTTTCGAAAAATTAACAAAACAAATTACTTATTTGATAAATCTTCAGAAGACACGAGTGCACGCTTCAATACAGAAAGATGTATATTTTTTTCTCTTCTAACGTCATTATTCACCATGTTCATTATCAATTATTGCTTTCGTAAAGAATTTTGTAAAATTTTCTTTCTCTCGAAGTGTATATTACATTAGATATGGCATTCGTACATGAAATATACGATCAACGTAAAAACGAATCTAAACGATTTCTCTATGTATATATATATATATATACGCTACATAAATAATACACGTTGAGATTGTGTAAATAAATGCGTTAAATGCGATTTGCTGCCGTAATTCATTTTGAAAAAAGAAAAAAGAAAACATCGAAGAGTCGTTATTAGTATCAGTACAAAGTCATACACAGTACAAAGATCGGCATTAAAAGAATGCAGAAACAATGACGCGACTAATTGAAAAACAATGCAATTCAGACTTTAGACCTGGCAGATGCGAAGGCATTAATAATGCCGATTATTCAATACAAACGCACAAGCGCAAACGCAAAATTCTGACTCGTTGAAATCGAAATCTGTATCGGTCGGACTTGTTAAAAAGCATCACTGAGAGACGTGTATTCGCTCGATCCAGAAAAAAAAAAAAAAAAAAAACAAACAATTATCTTTCTATTGTGCATATGTACAATATTTAACGAATTAAATGATACTGTTTTACATTCATATTCGCCTTTATCACAAGCATGAATATAGCTCGCGTCTAAGATTCTTCTAATCGCTTATTTTTTTTTTTTTTTTTTTGTACAGTATAAGTCACACACTCTTTAGTTCTTCGTTCTTTTTCACAATTTTATAAATTCTTGTGGTAAATTAGCAAATCTTTATAAAAGTAAACACATAATTTAAAAGTAATAATAACGCGTAGAAGCCTTTATTTTAAAAATACTGTATTTTTCTGTATTTTTTTTTTTTTTTTTAATTGCTCGATTCATTGCATCAAGAAAATAAATAACCCACTTCGTCTACGACATGTCTTCGGAACATACAAGTTGTTTTTACCACGCTCGGAATACTGTACATGATGATACAAATAAATCAGTAATGAATAAATGATCTAACAATAAGAGAAAAGATAAATGGTCAAAAATATATATATATATATGTGTGTATACATATATATCATCTATATACACGTAACATCTTTCTCTTTTTCATATACACACACGCGCGCAGACGCACATTTATTCACACACAACCTCTCACATCCTTTTCTTTCCCTAATTTCTCTCTCTTTCTCTTTCTCTCATGAAACAATGATATTTAAATTAGCTGCTAAAAGAAGCAATGATAAAAATAATATTAAAAATAAAATTAATATTATTAATGATGATATAATAATAATAATAATAACAGCGAGTCTTTCATAATTACACTCAACATTTAACAGTGGAAGCAATAAATACAAAATGAGAATGACAAAATGCTTTGTTTTTTTTTTGTTTTTTGTTTTTTTTGTTTGTTGGATGAGCGCTAGCTTTACAAAGGATCGCTCCGTTTATGGAAGATAGCATCGAATAAGATAATCGCCGCGAGATATAATTGTTCTACGAGCGATCCTTCGTCAAGTATGGTCAAAACTCGATTCACCGCGAATCGCTAATGTATTTTTTTTTTTTTTTTTGAATTTTTTGTATTTTTTTTAAATTCTTTTTTAAGTTGCAAATCTCGAGGAAGAGGTATAATCTTTTTTATTACGGTTTAGCTTTATCAGATTAGATTAGTTCTGTATCACTCGACGTCTTCGTGCTGAAACACATGAAAATCAAAGACGAGATCAGATCGTGACATCCGAGACGAGATACCGGGTTTCGGGTGTCTTCAACAAAAGCACATCGGCTACAAAAAGCAACAGCAAGAACTTTCGCGAATTCATTTAAAATGTCTTATCTTTTGCCTTGCACCAATCGTCGCATGTAAAACGTTTAAACCGCGCTCTTGAGAGATTGTATGTATACATGTATACTCGTGTGTGTTGAAAAACGTCGCGCGCTAAATATAAAACGATCTAACATCTCGTTGCGAATCATATCGCGCGAAGAACTTAAATACAACGTAATGACGTAACGACTTACGTTTCTCGCTTCCTTCCGCTCTCCGTTTCCTTCTTTCCTTTTTTCTGATCTTTTTTTTTTCTCTGGGTTTTTTGTCTGTTTTTTTTTGTTTTTTTTTGTTTTTTTGTAACTGATAATCGTGGGAAATAGATTCGTACTAATGCACATAAGTGATCGACTAAAAGTGATTAAGTAAGCTTTGACAGGCATAAAGCAGATTTACCTAGCATGATAGCCTCCATTATGGATAATCGCGTTTGTTGTTGCGCAGGATCGGTAGAAGGCTGTCATTTCTTTTTCGCTGGATTCCTCTGTGGTGTAGATGGTCTACCGGTTTGACCTGTGTTCATTCCTCCATACTGATACTTCGCTTTCTTTTCCGACGGCTTCAGGATCTGAAAAACAAAAACAAAACGAGAGACAAGTACGACGCGACAAAATGTGATGTGTTGCGTAAACGAGCAAGAGAGGCGAGAAAAAATCCGCTTTCCGTCAAATCACCTGAAAACTGCACATAAGGGTTTCGTCGACGCTCATCATTCCGCCGGCATTGTCGAACTCGCCGCAATAGTTCGGCGCGGAGAATAATGTAACGAGCTGCCGTTTGGCGAAGAATTCGTAACCGTCCTCGACGACTTGATGCGCTCTGCATATCAGATCCATGTCGTGACGATTCAAGAACTTGGATACAACATCCGGACCAAATGTAAAGGACACTCCTCTGTCGTTCTCGCCCCAACCCTGAATAAAAAAAAACAAAAAGAACGCGAGCAATTATGACAAACGTAATTGTCTTTAAGTTAATTAACGCTAATTGTCTTTAAGTTAATTAACAATACGTCAGGAGCGTGTGTCAATGAGGCGTGCTCCGCACACGTCACACAAGTGTTTCACACCTGAACGTCTTTGTCGGGATCGGACCACAAGAGATCACAGAGAAGACCGGTATCAGGTACATCAGTTGGACGCATAATTCTTCTGATTTGCTCCATTCCCTGAAACACGTTATAAACCATTGAGCTTTACACAATCTTTATCCGAAACTCTCATATCTGTTTAATTAACACACTTTTCGATACGTACATACATAAGAAACTATGAACGTCCTCGCGCGACTCGCGTAAATTACCTGTAGATCAGGACTGAGCCCGCCGTGGCAGCAAAAGATCTTCTCGTCGATTATCGCGGCTATGGGCAAGCAGTTAAAGCAATCCGTGAACGTCTTCCAGAGCTTGATGTTGTACCGTCGTTTGCACTCGTCGTAGAAACCGTATATCCTGTTTATGCTGGCGCATTCGTGATTGCCGCGCAGAAGAAAAAAGTTCTCCGGATACTTGATCTTGTAAGCCAGTAGAAGACATATCGTCTCCAGGGACTGCTTACCCCGGTCGACGTAGTCGCCGAGAAACAGGTAGTTGGCCTCGGGCGGAAAACCGCCGTACTCGAACAACCGCAACAGATCGGTGTATTGTCCGTGTATGTCGCCGCAGATCTTAAGCGGCGCCTCGAGCTCCAGAAGAATCGGCTGCTGCAGGAAAATCTCCCGGGACTTGAGACAGAGACCGCGCACCTCGGCCTCCGTCATGATTACGGTTTTGCCCGGTCGACATCCTCTGACTGTATATGCCCATAGAAATTTTTAACGTTTAATTGCAGGAGAGTTTCGCGAGAGATCAGAGAAGAAACCCCTCGTTAGTGCGGTAGGTTAGCAAAAACTCGCGTAGCGAAATATAAATTTTCTTTTTTGTTGAAAACATTTTTCCTCGTTGTTTCTCGACAATTACATTTGCAATTTTTGGCGACGTGAAATTACAAATAAAAGAAACAATATGGTTTCGCGTGTTAAGAAATTACCGAAACCATAAAATAAGAATTAAAAGAATTAAAAAGCAAAAAATACACAAAAGCGAACGAATACAACGTACAAGTTCGTTAAATTTCGTCAATACGATATGTGTGTCACACAGTTAATCTCAGATTTTCTCTCAGATGTTTTTATACACCGACGGAGGTCTATCTTTAACGTATATAAGAACACAGGCGGAATCTATCTCCGGAAAGATAATCGATAATGCCATTGTCATGTATAATTAGCGGCGCAACTTACAACACGCCGCATTATTATACTTATAATACGCGAAAACCCGCGTGTTACTTCTGCTGATGATTACTCGAGCGTGCGCGATAATGCTAATAATAATATCATTATTCTGTCAATTCTTCTCTCTCTCTTGTCGCGCGCGCGCGCGCGCCGCATCTCTATTCATACGCGCGCAACGTTCGCAATTTCGATTTGTCGCAGATAGGTAGGTTCGCGCAAATCGTCGAGGAGAACACAATAAGCGGGGAAAAATATGGCTGTCAGACACACGTGACGTTCTCTGTTCGAGTCGCTTTAAAACAAACAAATGTGTCTGATCGACAATGAGACGCGCCGAATGACGACGCGTTGTTTTTTTTTTGTCTACCGCACTAATGAGGAGTTATTGAAGTTGATCTATTTTTATTTTTGTATATATATGTATAATTCTTTTTTTTTCACAGGTACGAGCATAACTCTACTTTTTGGGGGCGTGGAAGACGATTAAAAATTCTGTCGGTTAAATTAGCCGTTCTCAGTAAGAAAAAAAAAAAAAAACAGGGGTGATAGAGACGAGAGATTTACGGTATTACAGAATATATAATTACGGTGGTTAGGCCTTATTTTCTTCTTTGCCTATTTTCGAGCACTTTGCACACTGTGGGTACAGTCACGGTACTTCCGGCGTGGTCTACGGTGGTATCGCATCGACTATAATAGCGTCAAAGGCGTGTGTGAAATATATATATTATACTTAGGTAAGCTCGTCCAAGGCAACGTGGGGAGAGAGAGAGAGAGAGAGAGATAAGACGGGAACAAACAAGATGTTTTTGGGGAGTTTTCTCTTGCGGAGAAAAAGAGAGGAAAAAAGAAAAACGGGCAAAAAGAGAGACGAAAGGGGGACAAAAAAACAAACAAACAAAGAGATCCATCTCCGAATGAATCGCGTAATACGACTCGACAAGACCTAGAGAATTATTCAACTATGGATTCTGAGTCGCAGTCTATGACGACGCTCTGGATGATTGAACTTTCCGCGGCTTCCTAAGCCCGTCGAATATCATAATCGCAACAAGGCACGCAACAAGGCACGAACGCGTGAGCGAACACAAATTTTTACACGTGTGGTGTTTGCCACGCGAATAGAAAATAAAACAAAAAAAATTTCGCGATCGCACGCGCGGTTTTACCCAAAAAAAATTAACGCCTGTAATTTTTAACTATCCTTAAATGTGTCGGCGAAATCAATTCAACACGCGCGCGTGTGTGTCCGTCGCGAGTATGTACCGAATAGTATATGTCCCGACGGACTAAATTGCTCTCAACATCCAAAGCGTTGAACAAGGAAAAAAAACGTCGAAAAAACAGGGAGAAACAGGTGATTTTAACAACAATCTGGTGCAAGATCATCTCTCTTTATGACGCTATGGATGTGTCGTCGTCGGTATGTTTATTTATAGGCGTTAAAAGGAAATTCACGGTACGGTTGAACTGGGCCGATACTGGTTTATTGGAAAACTGCATATTAGCAAGGTCACGGCGAGCCATAGAGCGGAGATGCAGAGATTCCGCCGCCCCTCCTCGGGGGGAGGGAGGAGGGGGACGAGGAAGAAACTATTGTAACTTCCACCGCGATACCGCGGAGAGAGCGAAGGGAGAAGAGACGGAGAACGTGTGTATTCCAAACTGGAAATATATGTCACTCTCCGTGAAAGCAGTTGAGTTGCTCAAAATAACTCACATATCGGATAAGTTGTAAAAACGAGTTTCTTCGACTATTCCGAAAATTACTCGACGCATCTCGCGCGTCAACTCTCGCGTGCTGATAAAAATTAAAATCTCTGTTTTATATTCACACACGCGCGTACTTGTCGCGATTTACACTATTAGTTTTTATACTTTCAAGATTATATAGAAATTATATTTCGCACGGGAGAAAAATTACAAATTAATAATTCGAAACGCGAAAGTGAATTCAGCTGGACAACATTTTGTCCAACAGCTTTTTCCTTCACGCGAGATCTCTCGACTACTTTTGTTACAAGCGCGCGTTTTAATGCGAAAGATTCTAAGATAGGCTCGCGATGTGCTCGATATCCGATAATTAAACCGGCTCGTCGTGCAGACTCTCTGAGCCTCTCGCTCTTCGTCACAAAGTGTGATGAGAAGAAAATGATAAATCATAAATAAACCTGTCCCTGAAGAAGTTAAAAATATAAAAATGGTGTACGATCTTGTTAGCGATTACTTTAGAGAGAGAGAGCGCGAACTTTATCTTGTCTCAGGGACACGCGACGGCGACGAGAACGTACGCCTCGTTACCGTAAAATTTTTTTTTCTCGCAGCGATGCCGAATATAATCCATCGCACTCGCGGAGTTTCGGATGATACACCGCCGGAATCGGGAAATCTAATTAAAACATCAGCACTGTGTTGTTTGTCGAGAGAAAACCGACAAAATCGCGATTGTATCTACGCGCGCGCGCGCGCGCGTTTGAACGCACTTTTTTTTTTTTCTGACGAGATAAAAGGATTCGAGATAATTCGCCTTTTGAGGCGGTTGAAAATAAATTTGTTTTATTCGTTCGACTCTCAAATTCTGTTAACACGTTTAAGAGCGACAAAAAAAAAATCCTCGACATTGTTATCACCGCGCGCGCAAAGTTAATTAACAATCGCTGTGTACGAACTGAAATCTGTCAATTTTTCTCACGTCTTTTTTTTGACGTTTTTAAACGTTACTTTGCACAAAAATTTCACATCAAACACGATCGTGTGTGTTGTTTCAAAAAATTGCATTGCGCTCTAAAACACATCTCGCAATTTCCTCGAAGAATAAATCAACAATAAAAACAAATAACGAACTCAATTGACCAATAGGTATATTTCTCAAAATTGCGTTTTAATCTAAAAAAAAATAATGAGTCTTTACCGGTAAAACAATTTACAAAGATAACGACGACTATTTCCGCGCGCTGATAAGATAATCCTTTTCGGTCAGAGACACTTTACCCCCCCCCCGTCGCCGGCAAATATCGCGCGCGCGATTCGAATTTGTGTTTTTAACACAAAAATATTCTTCGTCGAGATAATTTACGATTCTCCTGCGTGGAGAAGAGGCTGAAGAGGGGAAAGGAAGAGAGGAATATTTATCTTTTGAATAACAACGTGCCGAGCGGGAGATACAATCAAAGGCGCCACATGCACGTCGCGGCAAACACACCACGCAGTTTACAAAGCACAATCTATTAAAAAGTGTGTCGTCTAAAAGCGTGTGTGTGTGCGCGCGCTCCAAATGCTATATAATAACATTTACGCTAACAATTTTCCTTAACGCTTGCTCTACACAACAATCTACGTTGCTCTCGTCTGGATAAAAAATAAAAAAAAATAAAATGAATAAAAAATAAAAAGCATTTGATCAACCGGGCTACACGAATTGGGGAGGGGAAGAGGAAAAGGAAGGAAAAAAGAGGGAAATGTGACAAATATATCGAAGACGTGCGTCGATGGATTCTCGCAGAGATAAATTGGAATTCAAGAGGGCTATTTTGCGAGCACTCGATATATCTCAATGACACTCGGAAGGTTTCTTTGACACACCGGAATTGTGTAAACACAATCTTGTCTCGGAAGTTCCAACACTGACGACAAGAAGATGCGGTCGCGATGGAGGATCGATGACCGAGAGGAATATAAAGAGAGCCGCGAGCGAGAGAGGGATCACACTTACGTGCGGGATCACACAGTTTCTCCACTTGAAAAGTTATAAGAAAACAAAGAGAGAGGGAGAGAAGGAGATAAGAAAATCGGATCGAGAGCGAGCGGGTGGGTAAAAGCACGCGGCGAGACATCGGAGAAGCATAATTGCGGCCCGTGTATTTTGCTGGCACAAACGCGCGCATTTAGCATTTTATAAACGTGGCCTATGTCCTAAATGTCATTCCCCGTTTTTTTTTTTTTTTTTTTTTTTAACGCAACCTTAAACGTCAAGTTTCTCGAAAAACGTGGAACACGCGAAAGACGTGTTTCACCTTTTGCAAGCGGCATTTGAACTAAAAATTGTAAACAAAAAACATCAGCGAAACAACAGCATTTAACGCGCTTAATAACCCCGCCAAATGAGATTATCGAGATTTCTTATCTTTGTGCGTTTGCAAATTTACCCGAGTCGAAATTTAGCGTCTACATCGAGCCTCAATTTTTCTTTTTTTTATGTAAGAGTAAGAGAGAAAGTAGATCCTACTTTGACGCTGCTGTACGTCCGAAATTTCCTTTTTTCCTGCTAAAGTTTTAAAGTAGGGTTCAATTCTCATATCAATCTGCGCATTGCAGGCTCTGATAGGCTCAAAGTAGGAGTAAGAAAAAAAGTAGATGCTACTTTGACGCTGCTGTACGTCCGAAATTTCCTTTTTTCCTGCTAAAGTTTTAAAGCAGGGTTCAATTCTCATATCAATCTGCGCATTGCAGGCTCTGATAGGCTCTGATATAGGCTCTGATAGGAGTAAGAAAAAAAGTAGATGCTACTTTGACGCTGCTATACGTCCGAAATTTTCTTTTTTCAAAAATTGAGGTTCAATGTAGACGCTAAATTTCGAATCGGGTATATCGAAATGCGAACGCGACGGCCACGTTTAATAAAAAAAACCGCGCGGTGCCGAGCAAATCGCGTGGTACGCGCACATGCCGGATATATATAGCGGAGGATCGTAATATATATATAACAATACTAACAAAATACAGTCGGGAAAAAAAGCTTGACTCCAAAGAGAAAGCAAAGCCGGGAGAACACGCGCGCGCGCGCGAGAAAACTTGAAGCAGCGCGGACTTGAGCGCAGCAAAAAGCAAATCAAAAAAAAAAAAAAAAAAAAAAATCACAATCCAACATTCTCCGTCAAATGAACGAGCTGCTGCTACTCGAAAACGGAACCAGCCAGAGTCTGTGTGTGTGTGTGAATTGGATTTTCTTCTCGAGTCCTCGCTGCTTTGAAAAAAGTTTTTCGCGCGTTTTTCGATTCGACGACACAAGTCAAAGAAACGCAATTCAGCTCTCTACGTTTTTCTGGGGGGAAGGGGAAATAAAAAAAAAAAAGGAATTCTTTTTTGTTTCTTTTTTTGCTGTGTTTACGGAAATTTGATGCTGGTGGATTTATTGTTGCTTGTATAGTAGTTGCGTACCGACGAAGTCTGACGAGAAAATATCTTTTAGCTTGGCTTTCTTCTGAACCTGGTCTTTCTGCGTGTGGTATACTTTACCCGCACAAGAAGGGGAGATTCCCGCATTCGTGTAGCATGAGAGAGAAAACAAACAAAAAGAGATTTTTTTTTTTCCGTTTCCTTCTGCGCCTGAGAGAGAAGTGAACGAGGATGAAAAATCATGATAGAGCGCTATGGTCAGCGGCGTAAAAGGGCGAAGGGGGCGGGTGATGCGACGGCAGGTTGCGGGGGAGAAGATAGGGGGAGGGGGAGGGGGGAAGGAGAGACTCTTTAAGTCTCGTGTGTGAGAGACGATGTGAGACGATGAGTACTGAGACGATATGTACGCTGAGAGGGAAGTGGAAGAACGTACATGAGCGAGAAACAGTAAAATAGAGAGAGAAAAAGAGAGAGAGAGAGAGAAAGAGAGAAAGAGAAAAAACAAAAAGAAGAGGGAATGAGAGAGAAAAATAGACATAGCGGAACTCAGAACGAGAAAGACAGAATGACGAATAGAGTCCCTTTAAGTTTTACAAACGATTCGTGTATGTGCCAAGGGACTGCGACGTATCGACGACGACGACGACGACGACGACGACGACGACGACAAATGATAACGATGACCGCAACAATCCGACGTAGTAGTACGGGCGAGATCGATAGTCTTCTTAGTCTTATTTTTTTTTTCTTTTTTTCTTTCCAATCGACTGTCGCAGAAAATCCGTGCGGCAATGCGGCATAAAAGCGGAGAAATGACGCGCGGTGAGGAAGAGAGAGCACCGCGTCACGACTTCTCTCTCTCTCGCGATATACGCTCTCGACAAAATGAAAGAAAGGAAGAAAAAGAAAAGAGAGAGAGAGATAGATAGAGAGAGCGAAATAGAGAAAGGTCCGCGACGCGGATCGGATTTTGTCCGGGATCTTTATCGCGCGACGATGGGTGAAACGAGAGCGAGCGAACGATCGAGCGATCAAGCGAGCGAACGAACATACGTGCGTACGTAAAAACACGACGACGTAAGCGACGAGTTGCGTTCGAGAGAAAACCGAAGGCAGTCGGTCGACTTCGCGTCCGAGTCCCGGGTTTTGCGTCGCGTCGCCGCTTCGCGAAATTCCTGAGGCTGTCGCGCAACAAACGAAATGACAAAATCGCGTCTGATTGACGCGCGACGCGATTTCCGCGTTTTTTTCGCGCCGGTTGCTACGTCGCAATCACATACCTTCCAGTAATCTTTGTATCAAGTTGTCGATATTCAAGTCCACATCCGCCATTTTTTCCTGCCACTGAGCGACTGGCCCGATGTTCGCGAACTGGCTCGTATCCGACTCGTAGCCGCGCGCATTTGCACCGCCAATGCGAACACGGCAACAACATTCACATTGATGTTTGCTTACGCGAGACGTGTGTACGCGCCCCGTTTATCGACTGCCGATAGAAAGAGAACTCTCTTCTAAGACCGGATCCGCAATGCGGTCGCACTTGCGAAAGCGGCCAAACAAAAATCCCCCAGAATCGTGTCCACTGATTGGGTGCGTTCAGACAACTCAACAGTTGCAAAACGGTTGAGAGATAATCACTTCTGATTGAATCATACTTTTGGAACCGCAGCAGATTTTGAAGAATAGTCCTATCATAAGTGATGATCTCTCAACCGTTGAGTGCAACTACCCGTGGATACGCGCCGGCTTAAGATTAATTAATAAGATCCGTCTACAATGGAAAGTTGTAGACCGTAATAGTAAGAAATTGACCAATCACAGGCAAAGTACAGAAGAATAATCGATTGTGATTTGTCAGTTTCTTACTGTTACAGTCTAAAACTCTCGATTGTAGACGACCCTTTACGAGGAGGAAAAGCTATTAGGCTTTAGTATTACATTTGTCGTACGGACAAAGATTTTAAATAAATTGATTGGCTATCAAATAGAGTTCTTTATAAAGCTCTATCTGATAACCAATCAACGTACTTAAAATCGTTGTCGTACGACAAATGTAATATTAGCCTTAAGCCTATGTCACACTACGGATTGGGATTGAGATTGGATTGAAACTTGACCAATCAGAAGAAAGAAAACCAATCCTAAGTTTGGTGATCTTCGCTCTGATTGGCCCCCAATTGCAATCCTAATCTCAATCCTAATCCGTAGTGTGACATAGGCTTTATAGAGGGCCGTTCTCAGTCTTCTCTCTAAGGCTGGATCCTCATGCAGACACTGGCGCTTTGACATCAAACGTTGATTGGTGAAAAGCGGATGGTGAGGGGTAAATGGCAGCCCTAATTTACCCTCACCACCTGCTCTTCACCAATCAACGTTTGACGTCAAAGCGTCGGTGTCTGCATGAAGATCCAGCCTAATGCTGATAATTAACAATCAATCGCAGCCAATAATTTATAAACGGAAATGTGAAAGAAATTTCTCTAGAATTGTTTACATTTATACCAAACCGTACGTTGGCAACATTGGCGTCGCGCGACTAGCGCCGAGCGTGTCTTTATTAATTTTTTACAAATGGCGACGTACGTTGAGGCACGGCGTGTCGTATAACCCGTCGAGAGGCTGGTCGTCGAGCTGTTTTATTAGCACGTGTTTTCAAACGAACACCGTCGAATCCGACGTGGCCGTCCGCAATAATGGGAAACGCGATGGCAGCATCCGCACCACCTCCTCCATCACCACCGTCGCCACCGTATCCCGGCGCGATGCCGAATTTAGAGAAGCCGGAATCGTCGACGAACGTTTACGCGCCTGCCGAAACGCCCGTTCACGACACCAATCCGGGCACCATCGAGGATCTGCACAAAAAGTGCAAAGGTACGTAACATCAATAAAGCGCGTATCACGAATTTTTTGCATAACTTTGTCTTCGCGATGTTTTTTTTTTTAATTTATCACAGATAAACCTTTCTGTCACGCACGTGAGATCCTCGACGAGTAACAATTAATACATGGATTTTTTCTGTTCAGATGTGCCTCACCGCACGATTTGTCTTGTGTTGAAGCGCAAGAGGAAAATTTTTATATTTGATTTTGCTTATTATGTGCAAATAAAAATCGTTTTTCTTTGTCATTTTTTGATTGACACTATTTTACTATCGCATTTTCTAACAATGAATTGCCTTAACAGTGTGTCATGATATGTAGTACATGTGTATGCTTGTAACACGTAACGGTTTAATAATATGTATATGTAATATATTTAATATGTATATATAATATATAATATATGTATATATAACACATGTATATATAATATATGTATATGTTATATATTCATGTTTTTCTTTGCAGATATATTTCCTATGAATTTCGAAGGAGCAAAATTAGTAGTAAATAAAGGTTTGAGCAATCATTTTCACATTTCTCATACCATTAATATGAGTTCCAGTTTGATGACATCTGGATACAGGTAACAGAAATAAGAATTAACAAAAATTCAAAACCTCTATATTTGGCCTGTTCTTTGTTTCTGAACTGTGTTATATTTTTCATGCAGTTAAAATAAAGAGAGTCATATAAAATTGTTTTAGAGAGAAAGGGAAAGAACAGTCAGTGCGGAAACAAAGAACAAACGTGTTATATTTGTCATAAGGCGAATTATTTTATTTAAATTTTTGTCAGGTTTGGAGCAACTTATGTCGGCACCAAACAACTATCACCTTCAGAAGCGTATCCCGTATTGTTGGGGGATATTGATCCAAGTGGAAATCTTAATGCCAATATTTTTCATCAGCTGTCTAGGTTGAAAGGGAAATTGGCAGCGCAAGTTCAGAGAAACAAATTCACAGCTGTACAAATGACAGCTGATTATCGTGGCGATGCCTATACTTGTTCGTTAACATTAGGCAATCCTGACATTCTTAATTTGTCTGGTAATTTGATAACTTAGGAAATAACAAATATATAAAACACTTCTTTGTGTTTTATTTATAAATTAAGCGTTTTAAATATATCTTCAGGTGTTATGGTGTTGCATTATCTTCAAAGTGTGACGCCATCGCTTGCATTAGGTGGTGAGCTTGCGTATCAACGTGGGCCTGGTGTACCAGGTGGACAGATCGCTTTATTATCCGCCGCGGGAAGATATACAAATGGCAACTCTACGTTCAGCGGAAGCATAAGTAAATTGATGAATATGTTGACACACTTCCTATAACATATTTCTCGCAATTGTGTTTTCGTTTTCTAACTAAATATTCCTTTAAGGTCCTTCCGCTTATCACCTCTGTTTCCACCAAAAAGCTAGCGAGCAACTACAAGTAGGTGTAGAATTAGAAATCAATGCGCGAATACAGGACGCAACGGCAACGATCGCCTATCAGCTCGACTTACCTAAAGCAGATTTAGTGTTTAAAGGTGCTGAAACTTAGTACGAGAGGATCTCTGGATATATAATAATAATCTGATTTTTTCAAATTTCTAATTCGTGATACGTTGCAGGTAGCGTAGATACAAACTGGACAGTAGGAGCTGTTTTAGAGAAGAGGTTACAACCACTGCCGTTCTCATTCGCGCTCAGTGGCATGCTGAATCACAGCAAGCAGCAGTTCACACTGGGTTGCGGCATGATTATCGGTTAGGTGCGATTATGCGCGACTCGCGCATATATCCAAAGGAACTTGGGAACTCTGCTTTCTCTGTGCACAGTCGGACTGTCATGTAATTTTAATGTCTCCCACCTGTCACATCCCTTTTTGACTCGTGTTGAGTGTTATTTTGATTAAAAGAATTTGCCGGTTTAATTGTTTTTTGTACATCTGTGTAATAATTTTGTCGTTGGACTCTTGTTAAATTATCTTTTTTTTTTTTTTTATTATTCTTTTCGTGACAAATATTCCACGTAGAGATACGCTTCGGTAGGTATGATGATAAATTTTTTAACGAATACTAACATTGCGCATGTTACACAAAGTCCTTAAAATCGATTTGGAGCGACAAATATAACAAATACACAAACTACGAGCGTTTTTTTTTAAACAAATAGTTATAGTTTGCGTATTGTGCGTTATATTTGTCGCTCGAACTAAATCAACGTCATTGAATATCTCAATATGTAGAAAAAAAAAAGGGAGAAAGGGAAAACCTAGAAAAAATAGATTTATTATTGCTTAACAGTTTGGAAAATAACACTTTATCATATAAAGCGTTATTTTTTAAGTTTAACTAATTTTCTGGAATTGTTTGCAACAAATAGTAAAAATATATACGTAATGTATACACGATCCAACTATGTATAATTTTAGCATTTATTCACAAGTTTCTTTGTCAACAAATACAAATGCATTTATTATACAAATCATGTACAGACTTTCTTATATTTTGCACACTCGGCAACACGCTGATTCGTCGAGTGATTCGGCGGAGCCTTCCCTCAACGAATCGGTATTATTGCCAAGTGCGCATATAAATTTCTGTACATGTCAGTCATGTACTTTGATAATTTTTTATTCACGAATTGCGATATGTACAAAATTGTTTTTTTTTTTTTGTACATATTCAAAATTTAATTCATACGTTTATTATTACTCGCAGCAAAATGTGTAATGTTTCTCTTTTGCTCACGCGATGTCGTTAATCGGCGGAGTAGTAGTCGTATCCGCGGCATGTACAGGAGAATTATATTCTCTAATTGTATATGTTGTGTAAAGAATTAATTTTAAAACTTCACATATGTGTGAATTTAAGTAGGAGATGATTGTTCGGTTTGTCGGAGTTTGAGCAGCAGCGTGTGCGAAGTAGTTTCTTGCTCTTTGTTCTGATTGTACGCAATTTGATTTTTGTAAGTACGACAGAATGAAAACTTGTGTATATTGTTGAAGAAAAAAAAAAAAAAAACTAATGTACAAAGAACGTTTTAAACCCCGTTATTCTGTAGACCATGTGTGTAAGAAGATATTTCTCCACAAGTGGACGCGCAGTGACGGTTTGCTTCTAGTTGAATGGAGGTCGGGAGTTTCTGAGGTCGCAGCGCGCGCAATCGCGAGTTCACTTCCCAGAGAAAACAATAAGCAATTAGCGCGAGGATCATTAAAAGCTCGAGGTGAACGCGGGGGCGCGCGCATGGTGCGTATGATGTGACCATAAAGGTCAAACTCCCTTTTCTCGCAAACTTAGAACATGTGTGTACACACATATGTTTTAAGCTTGCAAAGAATATTTTATGCTTTTATCTCTTTTGAGGTGTGAAATTACTTAATTAATAGTATATTGATATTGATATATTTTTCTCTGTAAAGGTGAGTATTTAAAAATTATATAATTATATGTAACGTATAAGAGAAAAATGATTTTTTAAATTTTAACTAAAGACATTGTGTTTAATTAGAATTAAAAGAATTGTGTGTTTATCGCAAAACTTAAGCAGGTCACGTGTCGCAATAATCGCGGAACATTGTTACGTTCAAGAAGTTCGAATTCTCATCAGTGATTTGAACGCTCCGCGAGATTTGAGTTTGTTTATATGAAACTTACTTACTTGAATGTAGAAATGCACATAAAATCTTTAAGAATGCACAGTTCAAATATATTTCTAAAAATTAGTTAGTTTAGTTTATTTTGTGCGTGTTCTAACTTTATTTAAGTAAGTTCTTATGTTTGGGTAAGGTTTTTTCTTATCGGTATGTTATATATTAATTTATAAAACTCGACAACCGTATGAAAATACCGCATGTGTGTTTTTAAAAATAAAACGAGGGAATATTTTTTTTTTTTTTACAGAACGTCGGCTCTTGAAAGAAGAAAGGATTATTTGGAAAAGTAAAACGCACACTTGTGAGGAGGTATGCGCGCATAAATATTTTCATGAAAAAAAAAACTCGGCAAAGTACTAAGACTCACGCGTATGTACGTATATCATGTGGGTCAGTTATAATCAATTGGTGGGTGAATGAATGAACGATCGATCGTAAGAATCGGGCGAATGAATGGACAGGCTTGTCCTTGACAGCCGAGTATCTGTAACCTGACACCGGCGAAACAGTCGCTGCCGCTTTGCTTATAGTTTAGTTTCGCCGACCCTGTAAACAATCTTTCCCTTCCTTTATGCGTCACAGTATACGATATATAAAGAGCGCATAAAGTACATAGAGCACTTCCGGCCCTAATTTTTCTTTAATGCGTAATTAATGTATAATTATATCAATGCGTAAAAGAATGAGCGTTTTCCCCCGTGCTATGCTACGAAGAATATATATTTACTTAATATGATTTTAAAAGAGAAAATTTTGAGCAAAACCTCTTTGGAAACAAATACCGATTGGATACATTTTTTAAATTGTTGTTTCGTTCAACGTGCTTTACTCGCCGTAAAAAATACGAATTAACACGTACATCTCTCAATATCTCTCTCGTTAAACTCTAGTTCTCTTTTCGTCGAGATCTTTTCGGCATATGAGCATAAAATTTAATAGATATCGACCGATTGGAAAAAAAAATTGAACCATTAATCGACAATACGGACTATAAAATCGGTTCAAGAGCGTCATCAATTTTCTTTTTTTTTTTTTAAGGCGCGAGGCGGCGCGAGTAAATAAGACAGCGCGATAAAATTACACTCTCGGCGGTGCATAAATTCCAGGCAGCGAGTCGGCGAACGGTGCAGTGTGAAACGCGCACAGGAGCCGGCCTCGAGACGAGCAAGCGGCGCGACGGCCACCGGTTGAAGGAGGAGGAAACGAAGAAGGGGTATACGGGGTGGGTCACTAGCCGGCCTCCCCCCACCCTCTTGCACTGATAAGGAAAACCGCGCGCCGCAGTATAGATGGGTATAGAAAACCTACGCGCGCGCGCGCGATAACAAACAGGCCAGCGCGTCGCGCCGCGCACCGACTTTACTACTCCCCTGTACTTTTCTCCGGTATGATTCGCCGCGCAGCCCCCACCTCCAGTCAATGCCTGACATGAGGTATCACCTTCTCCCTCTTCCGCGACTCTGTGTTTCACACACAACCACCGCTTTCGTATCGGTTATATATGCGCGCTCCTTCTCTTCCTCGCGACCCCGCGACCCGTTCTCTCTTATTCCTCACTCGAGAATGCCCGCCCGCTCGCCCCCTTTCGTCCATCTTTGTTCATCTTCGCGGTGTTCTCGGTCTTACCCTCGTGCGCTCCTTGCGTGCAAGCGCTCGCCCGTCAGCGCGAACTCGCGCATTTTGCCTCGGCCGTTCGCGTAGCTGCAATTGCCCCGTTCATTTTCCGTCTCTCCTTCGCTGCACTCCCCTTCTTTTCTTTCTCTCTTTCTCTCTTTCTCTCTTTTGTGTTTTGCCGTTCTTTTTTCTTTCTCCGTCTCTCTTTCCACACCCTCTCTCACTCCGTCTCTCTCTCTCTCTCTTCCGTCGCTTGCTCCGCAAGCGCTTTTGCTCTATGTACATAATATACACGAGTCTCGTTCTCGATCATAGAGCAGTGGCGCGGGTTCTCGTATAGCAAGCAAAAGCCGGATCTTAATTTTCGTCTAGTCGCCGATCGGTATACACGCACATCGCTCCTTTCTTTTCCTCATTCTCCCTCTTTCTCTGTTTTAAACCACATTTTTTTTTCACGCGCAAAACGGAAGAGGACGATACACACGCGTATATAGTTCTCCACAAGTGAGGAAGATATATATATATATATATCAGGACACACAGCCGTCACATCCTCCTCTTCCTCTTCTTCCTCATCGTCGAAGTGTCAAGTCAAAACTCTCGTACGGACGAGATGCAAACTTCAGATTGAAGTAGCAGTAGCTGAAACGAGGGAGAGAAAGAGAGAGAGAAAGAGAACTTACGACAATTGGCTGAAGGATACCAATTTGCAAATCTCTCGATTTTTCTGAGAGGAGAAAAAAAAGTGATATCGCGTGAGATGAAGAGAAGAAGAAGCGACGACGACGGCAAGCCGGCCACCAAATATCGACATCGGGAATATTGTGAGTACCACTGTTTTTTTTTTTT